TTCCTTGCTACCACATATTTGAGAAGACCAGACTTTTGAAGTTCTGTTTTAAAAATGTAATGGACAGTTTTATAAGTTCAACTTTATGTTAGCCTATGTTAAAAGAGTAAATGTGCAAATAAAAATTTTAATTTTTTATTTTTTATTTAAAAATATTAATTTTATTAATTTTTAAATAAAAATATCAACTTTTAACTTTTTCTATTTAAGAATATCAACTTTCAACTTTTTCTATTTAAAAATATCAACTTTCAACTTTCAACTTTCAATTTTTTCTATTTAAAGATTAATTGAATAGTGATCATGACGTGGCTAACATATTTTTTAAGTTAAATATTTGAATTGGTCCCTCAACTTTTATTTTTGAACCAATTCATCCTTGAACTTCAGAAAGTACCAAAAATGTCCTTCAACATCAATTTTCAATTAATAAAATTATTTCCTAATTCATGGAAGAATTAATTAAATTTTATTTAATTTTACTAAATGGTAGGTGGGACTAATTAAATGGGAAAATATATTAATTGTTTTAATTTTTAAATATAAACAAAGTAAAATTAAGAATTAAAGTAGTTTGTAAATTATTTAAAATTAAAAAAATCTACATAATCATCTTTTACATGATGAATTTTCCACCTAATATTGAAAATGTAAAATAGTCAATCACTTAGCAAAAAAAATTAGCTACATCAACATTTAAGTGAGGGAAAGATGAAATTGAAAATTGAAGTTGAAGCACATTTTTGGTACTTGTTGAACTTCAAGGATGAATTGGTTCAAAAATAAAAATTGAGAAACAATTCAGATATTTAACATAAAAAAATATGTTAACCACGTCAGCATCACTATTCCATTAATCCTTAAATAGAAAAAGTTGAAAGTTGACATCTTTAAATAAAAAATGTTGAAAGTTGACATCTTTATTTAGAAAAAATTAAAAATTAACATCCTTATTTAGAAATTGATAAAATTAATATCCTTTAAAAAAAATTAAAATCTTTATTTACATATTTACTCTATATTAAAAGGAGTCATTTCCTTACTGGGGATCCTAGGGTGAGCTACTAGTCACATTGCCTTAATACTGATTGTGGGAATTAGTTGGGGATTTCAGTGTTTTCCTCAGGAAATTGTACTTTAACTTCATGGCAGGTCTATATTTCCGAACTCCCTTGAAACTTTGAGATCTATTTGGTATCACGTTTGCTTTTGTGTCTTTCTTTTGGTTTTTATCTCTAGTTTTTATTTAATTAATAGAGTTCTATTTCTTCGGTGTGTTATTTCACAAAATAAGATGAGTGCAAAAACATGGTTTTTATTTTGATTTTGGATTGCTTGAGAAATGAGAGAAATAAGTTTTTTTTTTTTTTGCACATGAGATAAATATGTTTTGTAGTACACTTAACAAAAGATATGATATTAAATGTTATGTTATTTATATTATCTATATCCAAATAATATTATTATATAAGTTGCATTCAAATTTTAATTTTATATTTACAAATTTCATAATTTTTTTATGACAAATTTATTTTATGTACATATCTAATTTAATCTAATTACGTATATAAATATCTAATAAAATCTTGTTTGCTTTATAATTTGACTTACATTTTGTAAACACATTATTAATAATTACTTTAATTGACCTATTTACTTTACATTTGATATTTTTATTACTTATATAATTTTTTATATTACTTTACATTTAATTTAGTTTTGTTAATGTAATTCATTAAGTTTTTTAATGTTTATGTAGACTTTTCTCTTGAAAACATACCAAGAAAAACAGTAAATTTTTTAAATAATTTCTTTTCGAGAATTTTGAAAGTTTGCCTGTTTTTACTCTTTATACTTCTCTTTTTAGTTTCAAATTTTTTAAAGTTTTTATTTTTATTTTTTAAAAAAAATAGTGACTCCAAACGATACTCAGGTTTCTAACTTCTTATCATTAGAAGTTGGAAATCCAAGTTTCAAATGTGGTAGTGGAACATATATCTCTATGGTGTTAGGGTCAGTTACACCCAAGGAAAATATTGTAAGCGTTGATCTTTGATAACTTAGTATTTTGGTAATTGACAAAGTTACTCTACCATGATTGCTTTTGGGAGATAACTCTTACAAGTGAGATTAACATGTTTGTTAGGCCAATTTGGCCATCATATTTTTCTGGACTGAATTTAACTTAATCAAGATTTTCAAATACGTGATTCAGAAAATGTCAAACATGCAGTCACTATATACACTCTTTTACATTAAAATTCTTTTATCAACAATGCAAACTAGTAGTTAATTCTACGGAGTCTTGACCTTAAAGAGGGTTATATATCAATTTCTTATTTAAATTATTAAATCTTGATTTACATTTTGCCTAGGATTTTTTTGGACCTATTAGACTCTTATTTGTCTTGGGGAGGGGGGGAGAAGCATTCATGTATCTTCTTGTTGGTTGTGCATAAAGTCTTAAAATCTATACCTTGCTTACGAGATTTGATCTCCATAACCTCTCTCTTGTATTTGTTAGTTTAATTGCAATTTACAAATCAATTTCTTTCTTGTAACTCTAAAAACGCCACAAAGATCCAATCGAAGATGAATGCATATTTCAAATGGTTACAAAATCGAATGACACATTACATGGAACTTATTAGCCATGATTGTCATTTTTCACAGACATTTCATCAAACAGCTGAAACATATATGGCTGGAAAAAATTTAGTTCCAACATCTATCAGCAACATGTAACAAAATTAACAGTATTGATGAATTCCAGACAGCACAACAATTAAAGAAAAATCAACTGAAACAACAAGTGCAATAAAATTCACAGAGAAAGAAAGGGAACAAAGCATTACACAAAAGCTTGTAGCAGGCACGACCACCTTGTTCATGTATCAGGTAAAAGGGGGCAAAAACCAAGCTAACTTAGGCAGCTAGAGCAACTTTACTGACCCTTTTGGCAAGATTTTGTTGTTTTAAGCTTAGTAAGCAGCCTTTCCACCTTGCCAATTCGAGATTCAATGTTGTCAAACTCAAAACTCAGCATCAGAATCTTATTGCTATTTCTATCGCTTTCCCTTTCATCAAAACCAACGGCCCTAAGATCAGCACTGCAATCATTGTTCACCATTTGATTCTCTGCAAGATTCTCAATTACACCTTGAATACTTCCCTTTGATCCTCCACGTGCAACTTCACTTGGCTTCAACTTCTCTGCATTTGTTGTTGGCAGCTCCACACATCTCGAACTTCCTCTACTTCCCGTGGTTAAAGACATTTGACATGGACTGGAAGAATTCCTCCCATTGCTCTGCTCTATACATTCAACTTCGTCAACCATGTTTTTGGATCTCCATATTTCTGTAACGGTCAGTTTATCTTCATTGAAAGAATCCAAAGAATGACTTTCCAGTTCACTCAACTTTTCAAAATCATCATCAAGCTTGCTTAATGATCTTAAAGACATTTGACATGGACTAGAAGAATTCCTGCCATTGCACTCAACTTTGTCAATCCTGTTTTTGAACGCTTCTGCAGTTGTCAGTTGATCTCCATTGACGGAATCTGAAGAATGACTTCCCGGCTCTCTACACTCAACGTTGTCAATCTTGTTTTTGTATCTCCACATTTCTGTAATTGTCAGTTTATCTTCATCAACAAAATCTGAAGAATGACTTTCCATTTCACTTAACTTTTCAAAATCATCATCAAGCTTGCTTAATGATCTCAAAACTCCTCTAATGATCTCACTAGTTTCATCAACAGAGCCCTTTGCTTCCTGCATTTTGCATTTTGGAGGAAAACCTGGAGGGAAAGGAGAGTTGTCAAGTTCCTTCCTAGCTCTATCATCAAGTACTTCCTTTGAAGTCCTAAAAGGAGAGCTAGCAGAACCAAAATTAGTATTTTCTTCCTCTTCCACTGGTGAAACACCAACCGAACTTTCTGAATCAACATCAATAGGAGAAGCAGCATTGGTTTTCTTCTTTCCTTCTGAACACCTTGCTGAACCCTCTGAACTCCTTGAGGAAGACTCAAGAAGAATTGGAACACCAGTTTCTTTAGAACTTGGAGCTGATCTTTTCAATAACTTCAGAGGAAGACCTCCATTGTCTACTTCCTTGTTCCGTTTCAAGTTCATTTTAGGAGCAATAGGACGAGCAGAAGTTGCATTGCTATCTTTCTCTTTGCCTCTCAAAATCCGTTTTGAACTCTTCAAGCTCCTGACAGAGAAGCAGCACGCTAGAGAAGAAGCTCCTTGGTCCTGCACGCTCAATACTGATTCTTTCCACCATTCCAAGTACCGTGTTGTAACATCTGCCTCGAAAAACCTTGATGGAATATACAATCTTCCACCTTTAACAGACTTGGTGTAATCGTTCCATGCAATCTCAGGAATCCCATTTGATGCAGGCACATAGCCAGGGAGATCTTGATCAATTCCAAATTGCAATGATACCCTATGTGGAAGATATTGTTCCACACTGTCAAGTCCAACCAGCTCCGAAACCATTAAGCATCTAGCAAATGATAACACTTCATCATCAAAACCAAGACCTGCACCAACCGACACCCACATTTCTGTTTCTGCATAAAACTTGGGTAGTTTCCAGTTTGTTAGAGTCTTAGCATAAGGGCGCCAATAAAAACTTGCTTTGGCTGAATCTAGAACTGATCTCATATTCTTCACTTTGTACTTTAGGCCATGCCATCTAGCCAATCTTGGCTCACTGTTTCTGATCAAATTTGGCTTCGGCTGCACCACTGAGAACCTCTCCCATACCCAAACCTGGACTAATTGTAATTGTGACCAAAGGATGATACTTGCTAATCTATCACCTTTATTCTTCTCATCAATATTTGATTCTCTTTTTTCAACAATGATTTCCTTCAAGCGACTCAAATCTCTATAAATGTTAGCAAGAACAGCGGGTGCAAGTGACACTCTGTTGCCCCTAGCAAGGTGTATGGCCATAGGGAAAACCCTTTTTGCAATTGAATTGGTATTGGATGGGAAAACAAACCTTGATAGCCACAACGCCAAAAAAGCCTCGTGCTCGATTTCGCTGCCAGTAGCCATGAATTTCTTCTTCCATAAGCATTGGTCCGCCTTCTTAGCTGCAGTCCTAATCAACTCCTTCCTAGCATTCTTGAGCTTCTTCTCTGTTTCCTTCAGTTCCTCAGTTTCCATAGTGATGAAAACAGGGGAGCCCAAAACAGAGTAACCTCCCAATATCATCACATCTTCTAGAGTGATCGTCGCCTCACCCCAAGGAAAGATGAAACTCTTGGTTCCGTGAAACCATCTCTCTGCCACCCCAAAGACCAAATCATCATTTCTTTGTATTTTGTACGTAGAATTCATAACGGCTTCAAAGATACCAGCTTTCTTCCATGTCGATTCATGCAAAGAAGCCATCTTCTGCACCCAAGTCGTCCAATTTTTTTGTGGGTATCTCCAACCATTAAACTTGACATTCAAAGTCCCACTTGTGGGCTCAAAAGTGGTCGGTACAGAGGATTGACAAAGAGAGTGGAGCTTGCAGAAACGGCCAACAATGGAGTCCGTGGACGGTCTGATGAAATGGGCTTTTCTAATAGTAGGGGTTCCACCAGCTAGGGACACCATAGCTTCCTCTCTGACTTCAACAAGGCCCTCTGTTGATGATCCCGCCATTGTTAAGGACTCTACGGAAATGGGTATCTTTCCTTAACACGAGGAGGGGAAAAGACTCTATTGAGGGATGAAGAGATGAAGAGACAGAGAGACTTTCAGTCTGAAACTCTTTCCATTTTGAGTGTAAATAAATATTCCAAAAAACTCATCGAAAGAGACACTCCTACCATGCATCAGTACTGGTAGTGGAAGAGTTGGTCTATATACATACTCTCTAAAAAGTACACATCTTTTCACTCTTAGACACTTCATTTAATGCTCCATTTATGAAGTAGTCGCAAGAAATGAGAAAATGGTAGCGACCAATGATGGGACATCTGTTGTTATAAATGCTGTGTCCCATAAGCCATCTGTCAAAAGTTCCTCACAAGCAGTGGCAGTTTATAAACCCTTCTACTGTTTGATATAATGTTCGTGAGTCCTCAACAATGGCTTAAAAGGTTGATGAGAAAGAACTGACAGGCTGGCTGGAAAATATGACAGGGTTTGGAGCCAAAATGCTATCTTAGATATGAAGATATGTGTACCAAAAAAAAAGATATGAAGATATGAAGTTCATGGGTTACAAGGATTTGATTCAGGGGTTGTGGGAATTTTGGTGTCCTGAGGCTAAACATTTGTTATTCCGTGGGAGGAAGCTACAAGCCTACAATCAGTCAATCGCTCTTGAACTTGAAGATGTGATGACTCTAGGGGGGCCTTCCTCTCAAGGATGTTATCACCAAATTTAACAAAATTTACATATGGAGAACCGAAGATTCAACGTACATATCTTAATGGTTTTGCATTACTAAATCAAAGGTATGAATGAGAAATGTCAATTTACTTCGCTGCATGCTAACATTAATCTTGATCTAGACAACATGATTTCATGGCATCAAACATTTTTTTTATTTTAATAAAATAATTAATATTTATTATTTAATAAATTAAAATTAATTATTAAATAAATATTTTTAAACCTTATAACTAATTATGTAATAAAATAATTATAAATTGATAAAAATATTAGTTAAATTATGTAAACATAATAATTGATCGTGTAACCATAATCACATTTTATATTTTATTAGTTAAGAATTAAATTTGATTTGAGGAGAGTAACCTCAAGCTTTATTATGCTTAGGAAAATCAAGGTCGAGCTGCAAACTAAAAATTTATTCATTTATTAAGACTGTTGAGTTGAATTATTCACCAGCTCAGTCCAAATAAGCACTTAGTGGTAACCCTCTCTAACAGCCTTAGCTATAGCTATAGGCAACCACAACACACCTTCGCCACCTTCATCTATACCGATGGTTCAGTACCATACCATAAACCCTGCTCCCCCAGACTCTGCAGTAGAGAAGGACAAAACTCTGACGTTGACATTTTCCTTCATTTTCTTAGCCTTTCTTCGGAACCAAACAATTTTGGTGAGGCTAGAAAGAGATGGAAAAGGAGAGTAGTCCTTTTTCTCTGTAGGGTCTTTTCTCATGAATCAAGATCTCCATAAATGTTTATAAAAAGATAAATCTCGAAATTCCAACAATGAGCAATCATTCAGAGTCGGAGACCATTGTCAATCACAGAGAAGAACTCATGGTTTCACCAACAGGTGAACGCCCAACGCTGAGAACAGCACACTTTCTTAATCCTTCAGCCTCCATTGATGGATATGCCTTGAGCTTCCTTCTCAACTCTCCAACACAAGAAAGCCCTCAACTTGTGACCTCGAGGAGCCTCAGAAAAAGGTTTTCTTCAAAGGTTGGAGACGCCCAACAAAGATATGGAAAAAATGGGTCTGGAGAATGCAGCCAAAGTACCAATCTTTATGGAGGCAGGCTGGGATTTATGAAGCAATTATGGGTTCAACGTATGAAATCAAACAAAACAAGAAACTTATTCTAGGGTTTGCAGAAAGATGGTCTCCTGAGACAAACACCTTCATCTTTACTTGGTCTGAAGCCACAATAACTCTGGAGGATGTGATGGTTTGTGGTGGCTACTCTGTCTTGGGTGGCACTGTTTCAAGCCTTCTGAAGAGTAAGAATCTGGTTGTAATGGAACAAAAACTGCAAGAAGCTCACAGAGAATCTGCAACTCTGAATTCTATTGTTTCGACACACAAGGCATGGATGGACTATTTCATGGGGACCGGGCATGAAATCCTACATGAAGCTTTCCTCTCCCTGTGATTATCCAAGTTTGTGCTCACACCATCTTGTTCTAATACATATCTAGTACAGCATGTTTTTTCCGTTGCAATAAGTTTAGCTAGAGGTACTCAAATAGCCCTTGCACCAGTGGTGTTGTCTAGTACATATAGAGAACTGAGTTTATTGGAAAATAGGTGCTTTGGATCAAATGATGTGAATTGTGACGAGTTTGCATCATCAAATGCTATGAACTGTGATGGATTGCTTGATAAGGTGCTTCATGTTTATGCACCGTTACAATTTGTTCAGCTTTGGATTTGGGAGAGATGTCTAGCATTAAGGCCAATTCCCAATCGCATCTCCATTAGTAAGCCAAGAGTAGCAGCATGGTGGCATGATCTACGTTTTGAGAATGTTGGTGATGTGGGGCTGGCCATAGACTTAATTAGCTGGAGAAAGTTTCTTATGGCGGCCTTATGGAATAACAGTTAAGAACTGAAACTTTCCCAAGTTTTGTGAAGGAGAACAGTGGATACCGGTTGGTTCTCCGTTGGATGAACAGTCACAGGCATTTGCTAGATTTTTGAGGGTTAGTGAGCTTGTTGGAGGAGAATGTATAGAGCAGTACCTCCCACGTAGTGTTGCAATGCAGTTTGGATTGGATCAAGACATTCCTGCAAGCTTTGCTTGGTGCCATGCAAATCGCACAACTGCTTGGAGGAATTACAACAGGCCCATTAATGATGCTAAGCTAGATATACCGCCTAGGCCTTTTGAGTCGGATATTAGTACTAGGTACTCAGATTGTTGGAGGGGATCGTGTTTAGCCCAGTATGATGCTGTTAATACATTCATAAGAAGGCAAATGAGTTCAAGAACATGCCAGCGTATCTCAGTGAGGAACAAAGAATATGATGGTCTCTCCATCCCTCCTGGTCTTGGTATGAAAGACAAAGTCCTGCAAAATGTCAGCGAGGGAAACAAAATTGATAGAACTAATGCTGTTGCTGTGCAAACTTCAAATGGAAATGATAGAGCTGTTAGAAGGATGGAGCCAGAGCCAGTGCCAGAGATAAAGGAGGAGGTGGCAGAACAGATTGATAGGAAATCAGGTATCAAAGATAGAAGAGAAAGCAGTAGCTTGGGAGAAGTTGAAGAATCGAGCTTGAGGCTCGCATTTACAGGTTGGAAAGGGAGCTTGCTGACGTGAAGGCAAAGCAGAAGGGTTTGGCAACAGATTGAAGAAGCTTACCAAAGAGGATTCTTCATCTGAACGTAGGAAGACAATGCAATGCCATAGACGGCTGGAAACTATTATTAGATTGATGCACAAGGCATATATATCATGTAAATAAACTGTCATAGAATCAAAAGGTAACATATGATCAATAGCCTAACCATTTGCAGAGATGTTGAACACTTATGTTGGGCTCTTTAATTTGAGCTGAAACTTTAAAGAAGTTCATAAATATTTCTGGTACAAATAACAAGGCATCTGCCTCCACGACCAATTTTTTACTGAGCACTGTTGAACATCTATTGATCATAAACATTCTTCTCTGCAAGCTTTCAGATTCAGAAAGCTAAGACATCATCATAAGCATGTATAGCTTATTAAACTAAAGTCATAACCAGATACGTTAGTGAAAACACATCCTAATTTTAACGGGTTTTTTATGTAAGAGAACAGCACATACCTTCTCCCAAGTGACTTTAATGCAGGATTCTGCACATATGAAATATTAATATAATTATTTCGTATACACAGTCAGTGATTATCAACAAAAATATATATATGTAGTCACCAAAAAAAAAAAAAAGAAGCAAAATGTATATATGGGTAATGGTGGATTTAACTTGATATCTCTTAAAATTTGATGGGTTTTCACCAGCAAATCAAAATACTAATCCTGATGTGGTTAATATGTCCTTCAAAAGCTTAAATATTTTAAATCTCCAATAAGGTGTGAAAAAGTATATAAATTCAAACAATGGTTGATCTGGTTAGCATGTGATTTTCTTTTCTCCATGCGCAAGTTCCATTTTTTTTTTTGAAAATAGGTAATGGAAGTTCCATTTTTTAAGAGGCCACAAGGATGTATATATTTCCAAAATTTCTAATCTTATCAATGTGAATGCTGTTATTGCTTTTTACCTTTGACACCATTGCAAATGGCATATTTACTTCTTTTTCTTCTCTCTCTTTCTCTCTCTCACCCTCTTCTCTTTCTTCTCTTTTTTCCTTCTGCCAGAAATGTTCCTGCTCGTCCAGCTGTTACCGTGCAAAGAGCAGACTCCTGACAAGGTTCTCTCTAGTATCCAAAAATGGCAAGACGCCCTTCCTTGTACCCAAGAACAATCACAAAGTCTTGTGTAGTTCTCAGGTCTGCCCATTCTTTTTCTTTCTCCCATTTTGCCGAGAAACAAACAAAAGGGTGAACTTTCAACTTGTAGTGTAGTGTAGTGTGGTGCTCAGTCCTTTGTTTCTGAGAATTCCTTTATGTTACCTAACAATGGAGGAACCAAGAAAAACCATAGTTGAAGAGAGAGAAGAGCTCATGGTATCACTTTTTGCTGATGGTAAATCATATCTAAGAACAGCCCATTTCCTTTCTCCATCTTTGGCTTCTATTGATGAACAAGTCCCCAAGCTTTTTCCACTCTGTTCTTCCTCCTTTCTCCACCCCACTTTTGAGCCTGGAAATCTGAAAGTCTCCTTTGATGGTTGGCCACACCAAATTGATGAATGGGTTTCTTGGGTTGAAAACCTCCATCCGAAGTATCAGCAAACATGGAAAAAGGCGGGTATTTTTGAAGCAGTTATTAGCTCCACATTCGTTATCCGGAAATACAGTGATTTGATTATTTGTTTGGCAGAAAAATGGAGTCCTGAGACGAATTCATTCATCTTTCCTTGGGGTGAAACAACAATCTCTTTGGAGGATGTCATGATTTTGGGGGATTACTCTGCTTTAGCTCCCCTGTTTTCTGTTCTGTTGAAACACAACAACTCAAGGAGATTGAAGGTAAACTTCTTGAAGGGAGTAAGGAAATACAGAGGGAATCAGGTCAAAATGCAAATTTTTCGAAATGGATGAAGAGATTTATGGGAAGTGGGAGTGATATTGAACACGAAGCATTTCTCTCCTTCTGGCTGTCAAGGTTTGTTTTCAGAGACTCCGGTGGCATCCTTATTAGAAAACATGTATTTCCAATTGCAGTTCATTTGGCAAAGGGAGCGTCTATGGCACTAGCGCCAGCTGTTCTAGCTAGAATTTATAGTGATTTGAGTTTGCTGAAAGAAAAAATTGCTTCAACTAAATTTGATGTTTGTGAGGCCCTTATTCTTAGCTCACCTCTGCATTTAGTTCAACTCTGGGCGTGGGAAAGGTTTCCGGAATTGCAACCAAAGCCTAATGTGCTCAAACATGGTGACCCTAGATCAGCTCGATGGAAAGAAGTGAGTGGTCTGATAGTTGAGGATGTTAGGAGGGTTTTGGATTCAGCAGGGGAGAGTTTTCAATGGCGTCCTTATGCTACTGTTCTTACTAACTGGCAGTTTCCTAAGTTCTACAAAGAAAAAGAAGAACTTGTATCAGTTGATCCGAGGGTGGATGAAGAATTATTTTCCTTTGTTTTATGTTTGAGGCCATCTGAATTGGTTGGATTAGGATGTATACAACAGTACCTTCCTCATAGAGTAGCAATGCAGTTTGGAATGGACCAAGACATTCCTTGTCACGTTGCTCGACATGATGAAACCCCTGAGATTGCTTGGAAAAATTATCTAAGGCCAATGTTTAATACAAAATTGTATGTTCCGTCCCGTTTCTTTGAGTCTGATGTTACTGCCAAATACCTGAGCTGGTGGACTTCTGCAATTGTGAAGGGTATAGGCCAAAGAGAATGGAAAAAAACTCCAAGGGTTTCAGATGGAAGGAAGGGAGATAATGATGCTGGTGGTCCTCCTGGTTTTCCTCCTAAATTTAGCAAGGTGAAAACTGAGTACTTCGTTGAGGAAGAAAACACCAAGCATAAAGCTTCCAATCCTAGACCGTTCATGTGTGATATGGGTAAGTCTCAAGGTCTTTCAACTTCAATGGAAGATTCTGAAGCTTCTGCAATTATGAAGGAAATAGGCCAAAAAAAATGGGAACAAACTTTGAGGGTCTCAGAAGCAAGAAAGGAAAATAACGAGGCTAGTATTCCTCCTGGTTTCCTTCCGAAGGTTATCAAGGTAACAACCAAGGACTTTGTTGAGGAAGGAGATCATCCTAACGTGAGATCTTGTAACAAGCATGATTCTTTCAATGATCAACTGTCAATGTGTAATGTGGGCAAGGCTCAAGCCCTTCAGAGTCCAATGGCAGTTAGTCAAGGTTCTGCAGTTATGGAGTCTCTAACGCCAGCAGAAAAGATTAGGCATTCTATAGTAAAGGTCAAATGGGAGGATCAGTTAGAATGATCATGAACACTGATGATAGTGATACTGAGTGTCAAGAGTACAACAAAGAGAAGACCAGCAGCTATGTTGAAGAACGTAATTACACTTCACTTCATATGATGGTATCAGGACTTGAAGCTAGGATTGCTAGACTTGAAAAAACAGTTGAGCAGGTCAAAGCAGAAAGAGAAGGCCAGTAGTTTGGAAGGAATCCTAACAAAGGAAAAAACAGCTCCACACCTGGCCTACAACAAAGCTATGGGTTTTTTCTTTTTCTTTTTCTTTTTTCCTTGCGTTAATCCACTTGATCTAGTATATATTATGTATGCATTTGACTCTTTTTATCATTAACGTAATGAACTTAATGTTGATAGAACAAATTGTGTCATTGTCATTTTTTCCCAACTTTGGTCTAATATGATATGTTCAAATTAATCAGTGGATTTTTTGTGTTAATAGGATCATTTGGAGATTGCTGTGTTGACTGTTGATTAATTTCTCTCTCTCTCCTCTCTTATTCTTTTTCAACAGCCTTTTTTATGGTTCACAATTTGCTATTTTCTTTGTTTGGTGTTTATTACTATTCCTTGCCTAAGAAATTAGTGAATCATTTTTATGACTTTTGGGGCTGATAATGCATGACTTAAAAGTGAATGGAATGGAAATATATGTTAAGAAAGCAATTAATAGAAAGATAAAAAGCTGTTTTTGCCATCACCAATTTTTGATGGATGAGAGGAGTGGATGTGAAAAGAAGAAAAAGAACTGTCAATTTCTAAATTTAGTAAATCTGACTGAGTCATTCTGCCTATCTGAGATCAATAGGGTCTGAAAAAGGATGAAGCAGAAAAGGAAAGATGAGAAACTTTTGATTTCTGTCCTGAGGGACCAGAAAGAGTTTGGTTTCTCCCATACCTGATCTTCACTTTTGCTTGATTTTTTATTTTCTTGACAAGTCTGTTGAAGATTTGGTTCAAGAATTTTGTTGGTGGTTGTTGATTCTGGGGATGGTTGCATTGAGGTGTTGGAAAAAGAAAGAGCAAGATGAACTGCTTTTCATGTTGCAAGTCACAAGAAACACTAAGCAGCAAATCATTAAAGGAGAGCATAAAGCAATACCATGGCACCAAAATTATGGCCTCTTTTGCAAAAATTTCCTTAAAATCAGGTAACCTCTTCTCCTAATGTTTGTCTTCTATGATTCTGTGAAACCTTGACTGAATCAAATAAGAGAGATATATTCTCTTTGTTGTTTTGTGTTATTTCTCAATAGCTTTCTTCCTAATCTCTATCTTATATATCTTGAAAAGCTTCAATGTTTTTTTTTTTTTTATTCCTTTGTTCCTTTTTCTTGTAGCATTCTTAATTTTGAGCATGAAAATCAACAATAATCTTTTAATTTTTCCTTTTGGTCATATGACAGAGATTATGGACAATGAGGTCAGATCTGTCTAGAGATCCTTGTCATTGAAACTTTTGTTACAGTATATGGGAGCACCTTGTTAAAATCACTAGCATTAAATTATAATTTCTTTGATAGCAAAATTTTCTCTTTAAGATTAGTTTTTCTTTATGGCTTAAAGCATTGCTTGCCTGTGTATATTTCAACAATTTTGCTTGCAGATAGCAGCAGAAGAAGATACATAACAGGAGAAATAACAAAAATGGCAAAAAGCAATGTAACTTCCAAGGTTTTTACATACAATGAGCTCTGCGCTGCTACTCAGAATTTCAATCATGACAATCAGCTTGGTGAAGGAGGTTATGGGATGGTGTTTAAAGGGCACCTTGAGAACCCTGATCAAGTACTACTGAAATATGATTTTTTTTTTCCCCTTTCTCTCTTTGTACTTTCTGCTCAGACAATTTAACAGGGGTTACTGATTTCATGTATCCTTTTCTTTACTTAACCCAGCATGTAGCTGTTAAGCAACTCAATAGGAATGGATTCCAAGGAAACAGAGAGTTCCTTGTTGAGGTTTTGATGTTAAGTCTGCTTCACCACCCCCACCTTGTGAATTTGGTTGGATATTGTGCTGAAGGAGATCAAAGGATTTTGGTCTACGAGTACATGCCTAATGGCTCCCTGGAGGATCACCTCCTTGGTATGTGTGAAACTGAATTATTTGTGCTATTGGTGCTTTCAGTATTCATACTGATTTCAGTGGATTTCTGTCTTTTCAGATATATCTCCAGAAAAGATGCCTTTGGATTGGAATACCAGGATGAAAATTGCATTAGGTGCAGCAAAAGGACTTGAATATCTACATGAGACAGCTGATCCCCCAGTGATATACCGTGACTTTAAAGCATCAAACATATTGTTGAATGAGGATTTTGATCCAAAGCTCTCAGATTTTGGCCTTGCCAAGTATCTCCCAACTGGGGATAACACTCATATCTCAACCAGGGTGATGGGCACATATGGTTACTGTGCTCCTGAGTATGCATTGACAGGCCAATTGACGTGCAAATCAGATGTTTATAGCTTTGGAGTTGTATTTTTGGAGATGATCACAGGAAGGAGAGTCATAGACAAATCAAGACCAACTGAAGAGCAGAATCTAGTCACTTGGGTACGAACAGAGCTTCTTTTTTTTTTTTTTCCTATCCATCTAGACTGGATATTGGCTTGAAGCTCCACTTGATCATATTCATCATCTTTGCAGGCAACGCCATTATTCAAAGACAGGAAGAAGTTCATTCTAATGGCAGATCCATTGCTTGAAGGCAAATTTCCCATTAAGGGTCTCCACCAAGCACTTGCAGTAGCAGCAATGTGCCTCCAGGAGGAAGCAGAATCTCGGCCCTCAATGAGTGAGATAGTAACAGGTCTGGAGTACTTATCTGTAAACAAGGATGACGAGGAAGAGGGGATTCCTGCAAATTGATCTTTCTCAGATAGACATAGTAATGCAGACAGTGAAACAAAAGGATTGGGTGATGAGGGGGAGGAGGAGGAGGAGGAGGAGGAGGTAAAGAAGAAAGTGAAAGTGCTAATGGAGCTAATGAACTCATTTCATATGTCAGGTTTACAGCTAGGCTGCAATCCGAATTCACCTCCTATTGTTGTCACAACACAGATATCAGTTTTTGAGTTCATTTCTGGTTTCTGCATTGTTGAGGGAAATTAGAGAAAGATCCTAAAGTGCTACTTGATGGAATTTTTGTTGCCATGTTGAGGGAGTTTTTTTTACCGTTAATTCAACTCTTTTTCCTGGTTCCATTTCTGGTTTCCTGTACCATGAAAATTTTAAATCCCTCGGCTTTAAGGGTAAATTGTAATAGAGAGATTTATGGTAGCATTGTGATGTGCCTCGAGGCTTATTCATAGCACAGATCATAAAAGTAAATTAACCCTTCCTCTTTTCCCACCACGCCCAAGTGCTGTGATGACGGGAACCACAACCTACTATACATGTTATAAGAAATTATAATGCCACTTTGTGGTCTTTGTCTTGGTATGTTACGTTCATGTATACGTGAAATGAAGCTGTTGTCAGTGTTCTAATAATGAATGAAAGCATAAGCTAACAAACTACCGTAGTGTTTTGGATAAATTCCTCCCGGACTAACATTCTTTCAAACCAGGTTCACAACAAAGTGATCTCGGAAGGACCAACAGTCAGCTGAGGAAGCCAAGGCCATAGTTGTTGGGTGCATTTCAGAACCCCTTTAATGGCGAATTTTGTCCCTGGCGTTGTAGCCAAGTGTGCTAAAAATTAGTATGCTTTTTTTTAATTTGAAAGAAAACAGTATTGTCCTGCACTTACGCTAATGAGGTGTTTGAAGGAAAACAGTATCGTTGAGCACTTGTTTGATGTAACGTTTTGGTAATGATGGATATGCCTGGCGTTTACCTTAATGTTTTGCAGCGAATTTTGAGAACTGCTAACTAGTAACACAAGAATTTAAGGCACATCTTAACTGGATTATCCTATGCATAATGCATTTCGTTCTCTGTTATTCAGAAAGGTGTTATGTCGTACAAGTAACAGGAAATATACTGAATCAAAACAGTAGGCAAAATCTTACACCAAAGAGAAAAATAAGATAACGGACCAAAGAAAAAAAGATACTGAATAAAAGAAAAAAAAAATGATATTGGGAAAAAAAATGGAAAAATAAGATAAAAGAGCAGAAATGTATAGCCATAATATTAATGCAAATGTTCCTCGCTTTTCATTTACCATTCCATTCATTTTAAGTACAGTTATCAACCAAAAACCAGATCAAGAAGTTGGCATGCATGGTGCAGAATACCAAAACCATGGAACTACAGCTACTTATCAAACTGTTGCACTTCAATTCCCCAGGCTGATGCTAACTGCATCAGAAGTTGGTCTGGTGGTGCACCTTCCCAATCCTCAGCAGAATCCATTGAAGAAACCTCATGCAAGTTCAACAAAAGCTCCTTCTTCAGCTCCATGGGAATGGCCAAGACATCTGGTCCATTTTCCAACAGCACTTCTACCAGCTGTAAAGCAAGAGAACAACTAAAATCTCAAATAACTAATTACGATGTCATTTACTACCAGGATAGAATAGAAATATATTACCCTTAAAAGCCAAAGGCTAATATTGGATTTCCAATTTGAAACACCGGTAAGCAACTATTTAAGTCACAAGGCAGTGGAAGATACAGTTCAAATCAAGCAGCTTCTACTAAAATCAAAGACTCAGTGGCACACATACCTGTTGAATCCACAAGATGCATATGTCAAACAATTCATGTTCCAGCATGAGCTGAACAATAACATGCAAGACCTCATTTGCTATCTCATTTGAGAGTTGGTCTAGCACAGGACCTGATCTATCCATTAGCTTCATGAGTAAGAGATCATCCCCAATAGATGTAACTTCAGCATAAGCAGAATCCATATCACCCACTTGAAGGGCATGCATTGCATTGCTCCAAGAAGTCCAGATTGGGTTACGATCTTGCCCAACATTATCATCACCCACGGCTTCTGCATCTAATTCTGGAACACATGCCATCCGTGACATTCCACCATCCTCCCCAGCCACTCGAATTGCTTCCAAGGTTGCTTCATCCTTTGAAGCTTGCCAAACACTTCTGGCAGAAGGCCCCTCACCAAACCTAACAGTTCCTGGCACCTTATCCCAACCTCTCCTGCTGCCAATCTGATCAGTCTCCTGGTCTGATTTAGGTGATCTCCCATCAAGACTGCTTCCACCAGGAGCTCTTCTATAGGCAGCCTGCCCATTTCTGGATGCACCATAAGCAGGAAAATCCCAATCATCTGACATGTCTGTTCTCCAAGAGGGAACCCTTCCCCTCATACTTTGAGGAACACTATCAGATTGGGCAAATCTCTCTCCAAATGGAATCCGCCCACTGTACTTAGCACCACTATAGTCAGGGAAGCCATTATACTTCCCCAGAGGTCTATTAGAAGATCCTTCCGACCCTATCACAAAATTACTACCTCTCCTACCAGATGAAACTGACAAGTCATGTGCCAAGTCTTCAACAATTCTCTCAAGACCCCTAATCCTGTTCTCTAAAGTTACCATGCTATCATGAGAACCACCCATGAAGTCCTGCAACAAGATAAAGTAGTTTATCAATTAAAAATACACACAGTGAAATCATTTCTAAACACAGTGTTTGAAAAGAACCTGCAGCATATTTGTTAGATGCACTTGTTGTCTCTCCAGATGTAACAATTGCCTCTGAATAGCTAACCAGTTTCCTTTGTTGCTGATGAAGGATGCTTCCAATTGTCCATCCATTTTGGAGAAACCCAAACGATTTCCAGATGATTCCCTTTGATTTACATCAACCCTATCATCATCTAATGCCCTTATTCTTGGGTCTTTCCCATTTGCTTTTCCCTCAGGCCATTTATCCTGCAAACCAGCACTTTCTCTCTCCCTGTTATGATATCTGCTACTGAGAGACCCTTGAAGATCCTCTGACTGGTTGCTTCCTATGCCATTTGACCTTCTCCTTGAGTCTGAATCGTTTGTTTGTGATTCTTCTTCTTTTTTTGAGTTTGAAGAATTAAGGTATCGACGAGGAACGACAACCTCAACTGGTAAATCACCAGAATCCCTTGTCTCAAGCTTCTGGAAGAATTCTGGATTCAGCTCTTTGTCAGTTAATGCCGGTGCTTTTTTCTTCAATATGACAACTGCGTTGTCAGGAATGCTTCCACTTTTACCTTTGGAAGCAGCATCAGACGTAGGGGATGAACCATCAGATGCATTCTTTGCAGATGGATCTGTTTTTCTCTCACTAGGATTTGGATTTTTCAGGTCATTCTTTTCTGACATTTCAGCATCTAAAGCATAGTTTAAAATACTCAGTCCAAAAAAGGGAAGTAAAAAAGGATTAAGTATTTGATTATCGTTCAGAAATACATATAACCAACATGCTCACCATGAGATAATGCCTTCTGATCCTCTACAAATCCATCACCTTTCCCAGCAATTTTCTTCCATAACCGTATTGCCTCTGTCATGCTATCTCTGACAGGCTTTATCTGCTCAACCAATGCCCAATGTCATTTGCATAATAGATCTTCCAAAGGGAAATAATACATGACAGACTGATGTCAAGTACTGTCAAATTATACATGTCCATCATTTATTTACAATAGATGGAATTGAATAGACTTCTCTGTAACAGGAATGAAATAAGCCAATTACTTTGGATGTGGTATATCTTCTTTAATTAGGTATTATGTTTCTCTTCCTATCCCCTAAAACCTAAGTCCTACAGAATCTTAAGTACCCTCAGATCAGTCTACAGCACCAAAAAATCACTCCCTTTAGGTATTTTCTCAGTGCTTTTATAATAACTTGTTCCAGTTCCATGTCAAAGACACTCAAGAAATGACAAAAGTGAGACAATCATAGTGTGGAAAACACACAAATAAGGCCCCTATGTAAAACATAAATGACAGCAAAAGCTACCTTGTCAAAACGGCACCCCTCAAGCACTGCTAATGTGGAGGCCGCTCCATCTGCAATCAAGTTGCTTGAATGCAAAGCTAAGGCACTTAAAGCATCAGCTGCTGCCTTACGTGTTGCCCAATCTGTACTGCCAAGGCATTCATGGATGCTTTGCAGCAATGACTCTAAACTTGGTTGTGCAATTGCTCCTACCTGCAAAAAGTAGGTAGTTTTAGACTTTTAGTCTCTACCTGGGCACCAAATAACACATGCACTAACAGTTGAGAAGCGAAATGTGGTTAAGAAGAAACAACTATTAACCATATTAGCAAGAAGTTAAGATTGTTTTCTGCAAAGCTGCCACGGGTAACATTAACGCCCATTAAACTTAAACAGTGCAGATAACCAAGTAAGCAAGCACGCACTAAAGCAAACCCCGAAATTAAACACAAATACCATTTTACTTCCATAAAACTGACTAAAGATATCAACAATGCAATAAAAACTTGGCATAATGTCAATCACCAAATTTAAAACCACATAACAAGTACAAGAAGAAACAAGTACATTGTTTCAAACCTGCGCCAAACTCACAACCACTGGCAATAGTGCAGCCTTAGCCATAAAATTCTGATTATTCAGCAACTTGCAAATCCTTGGACACAGCTTCTGGAATGAAGCCTGAGGTGGATCAGCTGCACATTCCACCACCTTAGCCATACACAATGCTGCCCCTGATTGTACGCTTTTGTTCTGCTCCCCCATTGCCTCAAACAGCGGTTTCACAAACAACCCTACCAGAGTCCCCCCACTCTCCCACTTCAAATACTGCCCAGAAAGTGCACCGATAGCATCACGACACGCATCCTTAACCCCAGAATCTGCATCTCTGAGCCTTTTAACAATATGAGCAACAATTTTCGTCAAGTGGGTTGCTGCCAATTCACCGTGGCAATGACACAGCATCGAGAGCAACCGCAAGGATTCTTTTTTCACAGCAGGCTTCGGATCATTAGAGGAGTCGAAAAGGCAGTTAAGGAGCATGGGAATTGACTCGGGGGAGATGGTCTGGATAATCTTCTCGAGATCTTCCACCGCCACTTGCTGGGTATCCCGATCCGATAGCTTGGAAAGGCAAGTCAGAATGCGCTGCTTCAGTTCCACCATGGCAAGGTGAGAGGAAAGAGACGATGGCTTTGCCGTAGTAGAGGAGGATGATGAAGTAGAGTTCGCGGGTTTTGCCAGTTTTGAAGATTTGGGTACCTGCGCCCCACTCATTGTTACAAAAATGAAAAAAAGAAGGGATTTTTCTGTACAGATGTGATCTCAGAGAGGGAAATGGAGAAATGGGGTTCTTCTATTGAGTGAAAGAAAGATTGCTTTTGCATCCACTACACATATAACATAAGAAAATGCAGATTACTGAGGGAATGCCCGAATTTGATACTGATTTTGCTTTGCAGAGGAGGTTTGAAAATGGGTGGAGAGAAGAGGTGGGCCTAAACGTGGACCTGGATGGATAGATGGAGTGAGGGCTAAGGAAAAGAGAGGAATGGAAGCATATGAAAGCTGAAAAGAGTGAGGGACACTCAACTCCATACCCAGAATTAATCAAAAAGAAGGGATTTTTATTAGTGTGATGATATCAAACATTCAAACGAAAAGAAGAAAAATTTCTGTCCTTTAAGACTAAAAGGATTAAGAGCAAGGATTGATTTGAAATTTTAAATAATACTTGGATGGATTTACTTTTGACATAAATTTTAAACATTTTATTTTATATGAAGATCAAAAATAAAAAATAAAAAATTGTATTTTATATGGGAGTATATAATTGAAGAAAAATGAATTAATTGTAATAGAATTAATTGCTGACAATATTATAGTTCCTTCTACATATTTCTCAGAACTTCATAACATTTTTTACAATAAAATTGAGTTTGCCTTTTTTAATTAACAAGTGACTATTGATTTCGAGAGAATCATCTTACATTCAAAGATTTTTCTATCATTAATGGTTAATATTGTACACTTAACCTCTAAAGTTTTACTACACAAAAGTGTTTTAATTTTAATATATATAAATTTGCTTCTTTTCTCCAAAAATACCTTATCGTACATCAAATAATTATACAATAAAAAGAGATGTAACATTTTAAAAAGGATATCATATTATTGTTAGTCTTTAATATATGTTAACTAGGCTGAAACTCATTTTACAGCACTAAGTATTCAAACATTGAAAAACGGTAGTGATCAAAACTATATCTACCTAAATATATAATCATCAATTAAACAATTTTAAGAGTTGAAATTCATTGCTCCTGCTTTTGGTGAAGAAGTGATATGACACCAAGATGTGTTCTAAAAGAAAATATTTAGACAAAGAAATTGAAGAAAAATTTTAGTGTTCTCCAATATCTTAATTTAAAAAAAAAAAACACATTTTCATTAGTATAGAAATGTTTTATCTATTCTAGTATAATTTGAACAATAAAACTATAAACTCTAAATTGTAATATGGAGTAATAAAAGTTCTTAAAATATAAAGTTATAACATCTCAAGAATCTAACATAAAGAGTGGATGAGTGAATGTAAGTTGATTTCTATTATTTATAATGAGTAAATCATGGTATAAGCATCTGATACATGTAGGTAGATGGAATCAACTAAATATTGTGAAGAAAATAAGACGTTGCCTTTTTTTTTTTTTCTTTGCTCCTGCTTGATCAGCAAAGAAGGCATCAGAATCCTGTGATTTGTTAAAAATAATATATTTGAACGATTTACGTATATAACAGAATAAAATTCATTCATCAAAAATAAATGCAAAGA